AGTTGCCCCGCGTATAGGGGCTTAAGTTAAGTTTTAAAAAAATAAAAAATAAATTTAAAAATATATTATTTTTATTCAGAAAAGAAATGGTAAACACTCAAAATACATATTGTTAAAATTGTAATTGTTATCCTGTTACGAATGTTCTGTGTAGTCCAATATAGTAGTTTGCAACAGGAAAAATATTCTCTCTCTTAGCAACAAATGTATGAAGTTAATCGTCGAACGTGGTGATTATTTATGCATTTTCTACCTTATATTTATGATATTTTTGTAATAATTTATTTTCCAGAGAAAGCAAATAGTCATTTGTAACATTACTGTAAAAAAAAAATAGTTTTCTTTAATTCAAGTTATAAATATTATGTACTGTTTATATTACTATTCTGATTTAATAAATATTTTAACATTTCAAATTGCAATATAAATTATTTAAGTAATATAAAAAGAAGTAAATAAAATAAAAATAAAAATTATTACTATTTAAAATTAAAAGAAGAGATTTAAGCATATACTTATTTAATATAAAATTCATTTTAATACAATAATTAAAAATAAAGTATGATTTATTTTTCATTATTTACATTACATTTATCTTCATTTTTCACTTGTCATCTTGTCCAACTCTATTTATGCAAATTGAAAATTTACACACAAAAATCGAATTTTTATCGATAAAATTATGACTTTTAATTATTTTTAACTTTAATAAATCATTATTTTATTCGGATCAATTTTGAAAATGTTTCGAAATATTTTTTTAAAAAAATCTTGTTTTTATCCATTTTTTAATTACTTTTCATTAAATTTTAACTTTTCTTTTTGATTTTTTAAGACTTTTTTTGTTCATTTTAGATATTTATTTTCATGTTTCATTACTAATACACTACACTTTTGTTTTAATTTTATCTGTTATAAAGTTTAATAGTGTTTCTGATAATACTAACAAAAGCTAGGAACTGTAACTAGGAATGGTTTTAAATTTTTTTTAATTTTGAACAAAACAAATCGAAATGATTCGATTTCGATTGGGACCATCGGTTTTCCAGTTTCGAACTGCATCTCTAGTTGTGGCTCTATGTCTTTTTATCGTCGTGCTTCTCATCTATTCTTCTACGAGAGACATGCAGAATATTTCACCCAAAGGAACTCTCTCTGATCATAAGTTGCGTACAAAGGTTAGTTACTGTTGCTGTTAGTTTAATGCACCTCTGAACGAGACGGTTGGGAACTTATAAGAGCTATAGACCATACCCTGTGCGGGGGGTTACAATTCTTGTATGGGTGGAAAACCCCTCATTCGGAGTTCACATCTTTAATGTCTAGCAAAGAATTATCCGGAGCATTCTTTGCTAGTTTATAAATAATTCTATAGCTATGATTAAACGTCATTAGTTTATGAGGTAAAATTATGTATGGTGCCCCGGTTAGTCTGCGTCCGAGGGCCCGGACGATCTCGATCGGCCGAGTTGACTAAACGAAGTTTTGTGCGATGATTAGACGTTACCGCCCACTGGGGGCCGAGCGGTCTTCGTACCCTGAATGCTGGGAGTTTGGTCGTGGTTTCGTGCCTCGCTTGGACTGGCCACGTGGAGTTTTCCGAGTTTTCTCCACGTCTGTAATGCCTAAATAGGGGGCCAGTTTCCCTTAAAAAGACCTCCCGGAAGGCATTCCCTCTAGGCAGATTGCCCAAATGTTGCATTGCCATAACTTAACAAACAAACATTAATGTTACACTATCTGGAACCTGTTACCAGTGCTCTACGTGTATATATAGTATATCGCTCGAAAACGTTTGTCAAGCGATATACTATATATATGCGTAGAGCACTGGTAACAGGTTCCAGATAGTGTAACGTTAATTTCACCCCAGTGCTGAAAGTACTGGGGTGAAATTAATGTTACAGCAGTTCCTGTAATTTAAACAAACATTAAACGCTACCGAACCGATAAGCTCAAGGACGGTCGTTTCTGCCGCCATTTGTCGGCATGATTGATTTAAATATTAAATACGGATATTTTTGATAAATTGTATGCTTTTTTAACAAATGTAAGGTAATAGCTACTTTATCGATTCGTGTAGTGGTTTGTGTGATTGGAAACAATGTGCCTGTGAAGTGAATGCATGCTAAGTGATAACCTTAGCTTTACACAAAATGTATATCTTCGGCCATAATAATAAATTATTAATCTCACTCAGCTTATTATGAATTTATTAAAGATGAAAATATCATTTATTTGTTGGTAATACATTTGTGATTCATTTCCATCCTTTAATTTTACCTTTATATCTTGTAGCGTCAATGATAGCGTCAATAAGATAGTTTAATCAGTATCCTGGAATAATGTACTTTTTCCCTTATCACTGTTTTGTATCTAAAATTTATATGAAATTTGTGAATATGAATATTACATGAATTTACATTAAGATGCATCTTATACTGCAAAGAATTTCCTCAAGAAATTGACACGAAAAATTAATGCGTCCAATACGATATGTAATAAGGCATTTTATACAATCCCTAATTATTATTAAGTAGCTTTTTTTAGATTATCAAAAAATATACTAACTTATTAAACTGCTTTTGGATTATAATAACACAAAATTATGATAGTTTTGTATCATAATAAGTGGTGTTACTAAATATTCTTGCATTATTAAAAAAAAAATTGTTTGTACAGGCTAAATGGTTTAATTTATTACAAAAAAATAAGAGATTTATTTTTACTTAATATGATGTATGCTGAAGATGGATATAATAATCTACATATTTAGCAAGAAGTAAATGAATCTAACAAAGCAGGTTTTTTTTAACTTTCATCTTTTAATTGTATTATATAAAGTTTTACAAGTAATCAATCAAGTTGTTGAGAAAATGCAAAGAAGAAAACCTTCTTAACATATTACAAGTATTAGAATTTATATAATTAGTCTTTCTGGTATACTGACTTTCTTAATAATAATTAGGAATTGTATAAATTGGCATTAGTTTGTCTTAAATAGCCTATAAGTTATAAATAGTTTTAATCTCAAATTAAATTTAAATAAATTGCAAATTTTATATTGGTTTATAGTAAATTAAGTGCAATTTTCACAATTATTGTTTAAAATTTAAACTTCTTAAAAAAATATGCTAAAATCTAATCTCGTTTGGCATTGTGTGATTGATAACAATTAAACTAATATTGTATCATCCAGAAATTGCTTTCAACAAAACTTCCCAATTTTTGTATTATGTTATACCAGCCTATAATATCTGCTTACCCCCAGTTACTGTTCTGTCCGGAAATGAGGTTTGCTTATTAAGAAGTGAAATTCATATGGATATTCAACTGTTTTTAGTAGTCATCCTCTGTAGAATAAAAGAATAGGAATTCTAACCTAAGGATGACTACTAAAAGTTGTTGAAAATGTTAATTTTTTTAAATGTTGCTGGATTTTTTGGTATTTTGTGTTTGTTGTATCTAAGGCTTCAGTTGTGTGTCTATTTAATCCCCATTCTTAAATTTTCTGATCAAATGTTGACATTTAATGCTTCACTGCCGTACACACTACATACATTATATGTTTCGTTGTTGTGAGAGCAGTGTGACCGTTTCTGAATTCATATAACATTATATGCCTTAAATGTTCTTCAAGTTCTCTGCAAGAAGACTTAAACAAAACTTTTTTCTTATTGTAAAAACTATTTATATCTATGATAATGTTTGGGCCAATTAGGCTGTATGTCTGTGTTTGAAGGTCTATTCTCAGTCCTGGTTTGTTTGAATTGTTCCAGTAAGAAATAATTTTTATTAAAGAAATTTATTAATTTATAAAAATATTGTTTATACAAAAATGTTTTGAGATGATTTTTGGTAGTATTTATCAGTATTTTAAAATGAATGAGTTATAATCATAGTAACATAGACATTTTATTGATAAGTGATTAATGTTTAATTATATATCTAATTAGCTAATTATTGATGATTGATTAAATTATTTTTAAATAAAATATTTGACAACATAAATATACAATTTATTGATATGAAAGGAGTAAGGTATCAATAAAGAAACTGTGCAGATTGTGTAGTATATTCTAAATCTGATCATTCATAAACAAACTGGTTGACATCAGAATTGACGAATAACTTTTTAATTCACTATTTTTGCATTTTGTGTCGTATTGTATAATATAATTCAAAAACACAACTGCCATGGAATATACTCAATTGCATACTACCTTGAACGTAATAAACCTGATGATTATTAAAAATTTTTCTAGTTGAATAAACATTTTTGTTGCTGTTTAAGACGACCTTAATGATTGAATATATTGTACATTTATGTGATCATCAAGTGCATCTTTCATAAACTGAAAGGCATTATACACAACACTAAAACATGTATAAATGGGAAATTTTTCTGTTTATCTGCAAGTATGATGGGCAGTCAAAAAGTTGCAGAATTTACCTATAGTTATAAAATGCAATATAAGATAAGATTATGTATTGCTGTGGCAGGAAGCTCAGCATGTCTGTTTGCAGTGTGATAATGCTTGTACAAGTTTAGACTTGCACAATCGTTACTGTAGCGTCTTTGTTGGACTGCCTGTCATTCAGCACAATGTCCCAGTTCGAGCAGTGTGCAAGCATCAAGTTTGTGTGCAAATTGGGTAAAACTGCTGCAGAGATGCTGTCAGTCCTGCGGGAAGTTTACGGTGATAAGGCGCTAAAGAAATCCGCAGTTTATGACTGGTTGGCTAGTTTTAAAATGGACAGGAGATGTTGGAGGATGATGAACGTAGCAGGAGACCTTTAACATCCTGAACTGAAGAAAATGTTGAAAAAGTTTGAGAACTGATTAAAAATGATCAAAGAATAACCATTGCTGAGTTGGAGTGGCCCAACAAGTGGTGTGGACAGTGGTTTCTCCATCATGACAATGCACCGAGTCAAACATCGCTTGTTGTGCAGCAATTCCTCGCTGACAAAAGCATTCCTGTCATCAGCTAGTTACCTTACTCTCCAGATCTTGTTCCCAGTGACTTTTGGCTGTTCCCTACTCTCAAAATGGGCCTCAAAGGGACACATTTCACAAGCAGGGAGGCCATCATATCAAATACGACTGCCCAACTCTGGAAGATTCCAAAGGAAGCATTCCACGCCTGCTTTCAACAGTGGCAGGATCAATGGACAAGTGTGTGTGTGCGGAAGAGGCCTATTTTGAAGGTGATTAGGTCTGTGTTGCCATATCTTGTGCCACTACATGCAGGATCACAATTCCAGATTGCTCCTCATATATAAATTAACACAGCTGGGGAAAATTAATTATATAAAACTTAATAGTGGAACCAATACAAAATGCACATGTATATGCTAATTATTTGTAACTTAACATCTGTTTAAATATCTGTAATTACTTTTGTGTGTGTGTACTAATGAATTTATTGCTGATTATTTGCAGCTGAACATCTGTTTGAATAACTGCATATGTTAGCATAATGAATTTGTTGCATTCATATTTTTCCTTCTTTAAAAACCTCTAAAATGTTTTTTTCATTATGTTAATAGGCTTGTATATAGTTTAAATGTTAGTTAATTTGCTGAAATATAGTAGCATAATTTTTTTTTGTTTGGTTTAATGATTTTATATTTTTGGTAATTTTAAGTGTATTATTGATGTATAAGTTGATTAGTCTTACATATTTAGCAATTATACATTGAAATACAATAAAATTTAATTATTAAATCAAGTAATTACATTAAGCTTTGTTACTTAACATTAGAGTTCAGATTTTTTCAGAACCCTGATGATAAACAATAAAGCTTAACAAAAATGTGATTAGTTTAATAATAAAAATTTATAGCTTATTTTTATGTATAACACATGACGATGGTGATGATGTGTGTTGAACTTTTTCAATATATTTTATGATATAATTAATTTTAATATTTATTCTTTAGTAATTGAAGGCTTGTGTCAAATAACATTGCAAGTGCCAAAATAGCTAAATGGAGATTTTCATAATAAATTGTGTAATGCAAAATGATACATGAATAATACTGTTACTATTAAAAACTCTGGCTGAAAATTGCTTCCAACTTATCAACTGCATGGAAAAATATTGCATGTGTATACAAAATGGCAAATGAGCAGACATTCACTCTCACTTCTTTGGAGCTGTGAATGCAAAAT